TTTTAAAAGGTGGCTTTGGTTTGCTGTGGCATGATTGTGTGGAGGAGGTCCACATGTCTCTTTACAAGTAGTGATCAAGCTGGATACATGCTTAAAATGAACCATTTCAGCCTTAGCTAGTTGGCTCAGTGGATAGAGGGTCGGCCAGGACTGAAGGGTCCCAGGTTAAATTCTGGACAAGGGCATGTGCTTTGATTGCAGGCTTGATCCTTGTTCCTGGTCTGGGTGCATGTGGTCTGGGAGGATGCCAGAGGCAACCTATCAGTGTCTCACATCTATGTTTCTCTCTCTCTCTCTGTTTATCCCTTACCTTCCACTCTCTCCAAAAATCAATGGAAAAATATCCTTGGGTGAGGATTAACAAAAACCAAACCAAAACAAAAAAAAACAAACTATTTCAGCACTTTGGAAATCAACCGAAAGTATTCAGCAAACTGAGAAGTGTTTATTCGTGAAAACCCCTGAACTTTGAGTAAGAACAGTGTGAGCCTGTGGTGTTTATTCCTTGGGCTTCTCGCATTTTCTTTCCTTACTTTACTCAGTCCTGTGGGCAAGAATGTTCAACAGGGTAGAGCAGGCTATGAAAACCAGCAGCTTTACTGCTGCTCTGAAGACATCTGAAGAACTGTCAAAGTGGAGATTTTGATGGCAAGTTACTGAGTGTTGTGTTTCTACCCCACTGATATTGCAGTCCTGTTTGGCACAGAGTGGACAGGTGAACTAGTCAGGGATTAAACAGGGACTTATGGGTGGTGGGACAGTGATGGAAAGCTTGATAGAAATCTTTACAGACTGTCAGTTGATTGGAGGTTGTGCACATGCACAGCAGAGATTGGAGTGTGCCTACCCCACCCACACTTACCTGCCTCTGCAGCCTGTATGCACATCAAAGGAGGTAGAAGAGGACCCAGGAAATCCCAGGAGAAAGTAAAAGCTGGGGCAGACTTGAAAATGACCCTACCTTTGAATGCCCTTGCCAGCTCATACAGAGATCCATCAGCTGATAGAAATCTCACTGATTCATGGTGTTAGAAAAAATGTGTAACTGATATTATTCAACAAACAGCTATGCAGATACAGAGTTGACCACTGGGAAGTCATGCTTGGGGGGAAAAACCAAGCATAATAAAATTAAAAAGGGACATTAATGATCGTTCATGTTGTGGAGAGATAGGCTTTATAGATCTAGCCCAGTTAAGTTACTAAGTAAAAACAACCTTGTGATAGGTGGGGAATCTGAATTGAGTTGCTACAATATATTAACTGAAATGTCCACTATTCAACAAAGTGTTATGATACATCCAAAGAAACAAAATGTAACCATTTTGAGAGGAAAAAATACAGTCAGTACCAATTGTCTTTCGGTGACCAAAATTGTTGGATTTAGCACTCAGTGTAACCATGCTAGTCATTTAAGGAAAGGGTGTTGACAGTGACTTGAATACAGAATGACAAAAAGATAGAAATTATAAAAAGAATCTAGAATCAAGAAGGACAGTAACTGAAATGAAACAGTCATTAGAGGGGCTCAATTGCAGATTTGGGGTGGCACATAAAGAAAGCATTAAATTTGAGATTAGACCAGTACGAAATTAACCAATCTGAAAAACAGAAGAACACAAACAGGACAACCTGTGGGATAACTTCTAGCACAGCAGCATGTGTATTATGGAAGTCACCTAAGGGGAGGACACAGGAAGGAAAAAAAAATAAGAAAACCTTTCAAACTTTATGAATTGCATGTAGGAAAATCACAGAACCCACACCTAGACACATCATACTCAAAGTATTGAAAGATGGAGAACTTTTTGGAAGCATAAGAAAGAAGTGACACTTTATGCACAGGCAAACAACAGAAAGATTAATGATTGGCTTCTCATTAGATATAAGAGAGGTCAAAGTCAGAGAAATTTTTTGTACTCATAGAAAAAATAAGAACTGCCAACTGATAATTCTACATTCAGCAAAGGTATCCTTCACAAATGAAGGGAAATGAAAACATTTCTAAATAAATAATTTGTGAGTATAAAATTTCCTTTAAAAGAAATAGTAAAAGTTCTTTAGGTAGAAAGGAAGTGATACCAATAACTAGAATTCTCAGGAGGAAATGAAGAGTGGTAGAAATGGTTATTATGTGGCTAAATGTAAATAAAGTATTTTATAAGTATTTTCTGTTTAAAAACAGTTTTAAGCAGTATATTTAGTATATTTATACAGTTTTTAGCAGTATATTTTTGGATTTATACAACTATGTATTTATATGTGTGACATCATATAACACAAAGGAAGAGGAGGGAAAAGAAATGGCCCTTGAACAATTGAACATCCATATGGAAAAAATGAACTTAGACCTTTACTATATACAAAAAGTAACAAAGATGACCCTAGACCTAAATATAAGAGTGAAAACAGTAAAACTTCTATTAGGTAATGTAGAAGAAATTTTTGTGCCTTTGGGTTAGGCAAAGAATTCTTAGATATAGCAGCAAAGCATGAGCTATAAAAGATAAAATTCATAAAGTAAACTTCATTCAATTGAAAAACATTTACTTTTCAGAAGATATAACCATGAATGTGAAACTGAGAGAAAAATAAAATCATATATCTAAGTTCTTATAAGCCGAATATATAAATAATTCTTACAACTCAGTAATAAGACAAATACTCCAATTAAAATTTTTGCACAATACTGGAGTATCCATTTTTATTAGTGAGGAACAGGAGAAAGAGAGAGAGAGGGAGGGAGGGAGGGGAAAGAGAGAGAGAGAGAGAGAGAGAGAGAGAGAGAGAGAGAGAGAGAGAGAGATATTAAAAAGTAATATATTTAAGGAATTGACTCACAGTTATGGAGGCTGAGAATTTCTGTAGATCTGAAGTCAGCAAGATGAAAACCTAGGAAAACTGGTTTATAGTTTTAGGCCAAGTTGAAAGGCCTGAGAATCAGGAGAGCTGATGGGGTCTATTCTATTTGATTGATGGGTAAGGCTCATCAGTGTTGGGGAGAGCAATTTACTTAGTCTGCTGATTCAAATGACATTCTCATCAGAAACACCATCACAGATGTACTTCAAGTAATATTTGGCCAAATGGCTGGGCATCATGTGGCCCTGTCAAGTTGACACATAAGTTAACTAATGTAACATTTTTACCATAAGGACATACAGTTGGCTAATAATCACATGAAGTACTCAACTTCATAATTAATTATAGAAATACATAGTCATTCAAACCACAATAATATACCACTACATGACCGCAAAAATGGTTGTTGCAAAAAAATTTACATTATGATAAACCTGCTTGCATTGCTGGTGGGATATAAAGTGGCATCACCACTTCATAAAATGGGATTTTTTCTTACAAAGTTAAATATAAATTTACCACATGACCCAGTGATTCTACTTGTTGGAATCTATCCAAAAGAAATGAATACATACATCCTCATGAAGCCTTGTATGCAAATGTTCATAGAAACATTATTATGAAAGGTATTAATTGTAAACAATCAAATGTCATCAGCTAGTCAGCAGATTAATAAAGTGTGATATATTTGATATGAGTGCAGGAATAGACAGTAAATCAGCTTGAGGGAATTTCGAGCCAATAGAAATATTCTAGAATTGTTTTTGTGGTGATTGTATGACTGTATATGTTTATTTAAAACTAGAGGCCTGGTGCATGGATTTGTGCATGGGTGGGGTATCTCAGCCTGGCCTGCACCCTCTACAGTCTGGGATCTCTTGGGAGTTGTTGGACTTGATCCCCGCAGGCTTCTGGCTGAGTGGAGCTCCTGCTGTGGGAGCACACTGATCACAGGGGGCAGCTTCTGCATTGAGCATCTTCCCCCTGATGGTCAGTACTCATCATAGCGACCGTTGACCAGTCTTAAAGTTCTAATGCTTGCTTAGGCTTTTATATATAGACTATGGGCCTGGTGCACGAAATTTGTGCACAGGTTAGGGGAGGTTGTTCCTCAGCTTGGCCTGCACACTCTCCAATCCAATCCCCCTTGGAGGATGTCCAACTGCCCTGCGGGAATAGGTCTCAACTGGCAGTCAGACATCCCTCTCGCAATCCAGGACCACTGGCTCCTAACCGCTCACCTGCCTGCCTGATCGACCCTAACTGCCTCTGCCTCCACCCCTGCCACTGCAGCTTTGTCTGGAAGGTCATTCAGCTGTCCATTCTAATTAGCATACTATGCTTTTATTATTATAGATAATTGAATTGTTTATTTACAGTGGTTAAATTTTATGGAATGTATTGTAGTACAGTAATAAAAAATAATATGTATGTATATAATGAGCAAATAACAATACAAAAACAAAATAATTTGGGAATCTGAAGGGGACGGAATTCTTTGTCTTATTTCATCTTTTCTACAACTTGCAATTAATTCAAAGTTCAAAATTATTGAAATTATAATGGTTTTAGAAATGGTATAATTTTTTTTAGTATTTTTTTTAAATAAGTTAAAAAACATTTGTTTTAAAAAAAACTCAGTCCTAAAGTGGGTTTGTTTTTTTAATAAATCAGCTTGTTTATTCTTTACTTCTTGAATTGCTATTTGCTTTGATCAGATAATCTGCATTTGCTTTCTCTCCCCACCTCCTACCCCTTTACAGTGCAAAATTGGTCAGCAGGCCTAGTGTTCAAGTGAAGCCTTCCTGCTTCATATAATATCTGGTCTATGCTAGTGAGCATTCATACCTCTGGAAAGACATTCGGAAGATATTTCTGTTTTCCTCATCTGTGCAGTAAAACATGCCAATATTATAACAAAGCACTTTCCACTATAAGACATGAGCACATCTGTTTTTCCTTTTGGCACCATTTATTAGGTTCAACGACCACATCTCTAGGTGTTTTTTTTTCTTCCATTTTTTTTTTCTCATGAAAGAAAAAGTTAAATGAAAATATTAACACATTTGCTGAGAGCAGTAAATTAAAATGAAATTGTGCGACTCATGCTAATGCAGGTCTATGTGCTTTATTTGAAGGTCACTCTGTGAGACTGCTGGGTCAGAAGAAGGATAATGGGAAACGGTTGGGGGGAGCACCATTGGATTTACCGAAGATTAGAAAGAATCCACTGATAGAAATCATTTCCATCAATACTGGGTAAGCTGCTGTCCAACTTCCTCATAAAATATTCAATATATTTAATGAATTCAGGTGTGATTTTTTTTTCTTGGACATGTGACATAGAAAAGTAGTTGAACATTTTCATGAGAAAGGAAAATGAAAAAGCTGTGAAGCACGTGATAATAGTGCCCTCTAAAATGCTCCCTGTATGCAAATTACACTTACATTTACAGCAGAGTTTTATATCTTTGCTTAATATTATTCTAACTTCTTTTTTTTGGTAATAATCATGGATTTCATTTTACAGCATGCCCTTGATTAAAATCTTTTTAAAGAGGGCATTTTATTGTGGAGAATGGTTAATGTGCTTATCATTGTGGACTGTTTTTTTCTATAGGGTTATAGTAAATATTACCCAAGGTACTAAGCATGCTTTGATTATTAACTATCTGAAATACATATTTGAAATATGTTACTCTTAGAATTCTGGAGGTCAGGAGTCTAACACATGTCTTACTCTGCTAAGGTCAAGGATATCTGGGAGAAAGCCATTTTCTTGCTTTGTTCAGCATCTGTAGGCCTCCCACATTTCTTGCTTATGGTCTCCTCCTTCCATCTTTGTATCTTCCATAGTCACATTCCCTCTGATTCTGACTCTCTCACTTTTAAGTGATTATATTGTGACTTCTTGGAGACCCCTGAATAATACAAGATACTCTCTGTATTTTAACGTCAGATGATTTGCAACCTTAATATAATATTTGCAACCTTAATCTTTTTTAGCCTGTGAAGCTCCAAGATTAGGGTAGTATGGAAGAAAATTGTAAGTTGGGAAAAGAATCAACAAAGGCATGGAAGTGGACCATATAATTGTTTATGAAGTAGATAATTTTGTCCAGTTTGTCTGGAGTTTTCAGTTTGTGTAAGGAATAGGGTGATAAATTATCTTTTGGTGAAGAATCTAATTTCACTTAATTGAGTGATAAAGGGAAAGGAGGTGAGAATGATCATAGCTAGGCATTAGGGAGGAGGGTATTCTGGGACAAGGTTGTAATGGAGATCGGGGCTGAGAGATTGCTGAATACATAGAGAGCACTAGGAGGCCCTTAGTGTCCCAGCCAGGAGGGAGGGATAGCCTGAGTGGTGGTTGTGGGATTGGAAACCAAGAATAGCATCAGGTTTTTAGAATGATTTAGAACATGGGGCTTTGTGCCTTAACCACCTGGCTCAGGTGGTTGAGCATCCTCCTGTACACCAAAAGTTTGTGGGTTTGATCCCTAGTCCTGATTGGGGCCCGGACAGGAGGCACTGAATTGATGTTTCTCTCTCAGCAAGTACGTGTGGTTATTTACATAGAGAAGTACCAACCGAGGGCTGTGGTCAGGACAACAGGGAGGCAGCAGAAGTGAGCTGAGGGTGAAAAAGGCTCCCTTTTGTCAGGGTGTACCGTGTGTGTAATTGCTAATATTTTCTAGTACTGAGTCTGGAGTTTGGAGACAGAGGTAATGTAGGGGACACACAGTAAAATAAATAAATAAATAAATAAATAAATAATCAGATATTTGGCCATAAAGAAAATCTGTGCTTTATTAAACCTTCTTTGTCACTATTAAAGTCCTCATTTTTGACAATACCTTGACAGTTTTTGTTCTTCCAAACCAAGAGTTGAGTGCTGCTTAGCAGTTCTGATATAAATTATATCATTTTTTAGATGCCACTATCAGATTATCTCCAGTTTGAAGGATAATCCTCCCATGGGCTAAACACATTTTAGGAAATAGTGTTTAACCCTATAATATTCTACTGATACTTTTTCTTTTAAAATTTATCTTGTCTTGTTATTTTTTATCTGTCAGACATAAAATAATGGTGTTTAGGGCCTTTAAGGGTAATCTAATTTTCTTTGAGATTATGTACCTAAAACTTACTATCATTTTTATGTTTGCCCTGGCCCCCTATAATATCTTATGAGCTCTTGGAAAACAAACTAACTTGTTTATTTTCACTTTCTTTCTATAAAAAATATTGAAACCTGCAGAATTGATCGCCTCCAACTGCCCTCCCTTTCAGACCTGGTCCTTCTCAACTGCCCTCTCCTGCTGGCCATCTTGTGGTGGCCATCTTGTGTCCACATGGGGGCAGGATCTTTGACCACATGGGGGCAGCCATCTTGTGTATTGGAGTGATGGTCAATAATCTGCATATTACTCTTTTATTATTTAGGATAGAGGCCTGGTGCACAGGTGGGGGCCAGCTGGTTTGCCCTGAAGCGTGTCCTGGATCAGGGTGGGAGTTCCCTTGGGGCGTGGGGTGACCTGGGCAAGGGGTTTGCAGGCCAGTCACGCCCCCTGGTGACCCAAGCAGAGGCCCTGGTATCTGGAATTTATTTACCTTCTACAATTGAAACTATGTAGCCTAGAGCATAGCCAAGCTCCCTACTCGCTCCCTGGCTGCCATCATTTCTGTTTGGATTGTTTACTTTTATAATTGAAACTTTGTAGTCTGGTGTGGAGGCCTAGGCAGGCCAGGGCTGCAGGAGCTTGGCTTCCTTTATTGCTGGGAAAGCCAAGCCTCTCTCCTGCTCTTTGTGGCTGCAGCCATCTTGGTTGAGGTTAATTTGCATACTCGCTCTGATTGGCTGGTGGGCATAGCTTGTGGTTGTAGTGGAGTGATGGTTAATTTGCACATTACTCTTTTATTAGGTAGGATGTGCTTTACATATTACCAGATATTGTATTAGATATTACGCTATATACAAAGATAAACATTTCCCAAATCAAGAAGTAGGTAGCATTGACTGGAATAATCCAGAACAGGCGACTATGAACTCGGTGTCAATTGCAGCTCCTGTGTGAGGGGATTTGGAGCTCATTTGTTCCACATCTAGGTCAGTGCAGCGTGGTGCTCTTCCCAGGCAGTGACTCCTCTGCCCCCTGAATTCAGAGCTGTGAGGCACAGGTGCCCGGCTCCGGAAGCTTCAGTGGCCGCGCCCCTGTGGAAAGCTCTGCTGCCATTGCCAGCACACAGTGGGAAGTAGAAGCTCACACACTGTCTTTTATGTTATCTTAAATTACAGCTTTTCAGAAATTTGTGTTCTATAAAAACAACTTTAAAGGTATTTAACTAGAAGTGCTCTTAAAAAGCTGGAATTAAGGATCCAAAGAGATCCTGCTCAGAGTTTAAATATATGTGGGATTATCCTTATACTAAAGTGAATTTTTTTTAACACTTTGGGAAGATAAAATGTGGGATGTTTTGTATTACAATCTCTTTGGCATGATTCTATATTACTGTATTCAGTAATGACTCTTGAGTCCTTAATATCTTTGCATGGTGTCAAGAAAAATATATTCATGTTTTTCCAGCTCATGCTGTACTGTTGTTCACATATCATGATTATGTAAGCCATGGTCCTGTGCTGAATCTGCTCATCCCGAGACTAGCTTCTCCAGTCCCAGTGCCATCCCCACAGACAGCTGTTAGACATCATGACACCTCTTGCTAACAGGCACTATATCCCGATAAAACATCTTCCAAAAGTAATTCAGCATACTTTATAGTCATTCACTTATTTTAAAATTATGGCTTAATATTACTTTGCAAATTAACCTAAGCCAATTTTGCCATGCATAGCTCTTAGGTCTTTTTTGATTTTTTTTAATAGAGAATTTTTTTATAGAGAGTAATAGCAACAATTAGAATTAGTTGCTTCACTATAGCCCAGCTGTCAGATTATAATGAAAGCAAGTCTCAGTCCAAAATCTGCAATAAGAATTTATTAAACAAGGTGGTACAGTCCAGCTGTGCTTGTAAGCTTAGCGAAGTCCTAATTCTTTCTTGTGTAGGTGGTTAAGACAAACCTTGCATGAAAGGTTCACTTTAACCAGATGACACAATATTGTCTGCTTCAGGCAACCAAAATTCTCTACACAAGTCTTAGAGTGAGGGAAGGGAAGGGACTAAGCCATAATAATATTCTTAATGGTTTAAGCCAGTGTGACCCAACCTGTGGTCCGTGGACTAAGTGCGGCTATTAACTATTGATGGCTAGTTTGTGACAAGTAAAAAAATTGAGAGCAAATATTTTAGAAACTCTTAAGGCAGTTTAACATTACTGCAGTGTCTTGTAAGTTATTTCATTGTATTTCAGCCCCAAAAATTATTGGTTGCAAATAAAAGTCCTTCCATCACTATAGATAGTTTGAAAAGCACTGGTCTTGGCCAGTGTGCTCTTTACTTTATTTTGGAAAATATTTTAGTTAAGTTGCTTAACTTTACTGCCACTGATTTCACTAATGAGATCCCATTTCTACTGTCTTTTATGTTATTATTTAATCACTTCTGGAGAAGGCACTAGAGTCCTTGGTACATTGGAGAGAACTCTGTGCTTGGGTTTGGAGTCACAGACACTGTTACTTTCTAGCTCTGTGACAGAATGTTTTAGATCATCTCTTAGGACCTATTTTCCTCACATGGACACATGTTGTCTACAGAATATGGAGGCTAACACATTGTGGGCACTTTAATAAGTGATTTGCTTAGAATTTTGATGTTGTTATATTCTATAGTCTTCCTTTATTTTCGTACTAGACTTTACATTTATCATCAGCTTGTCAATCTTCTACTTGTTCAGTTTTAAATGAATGAGAAATAAACTTAAAAATTAATCTTAGTCTCTCCCATAACTTTTGGTACAGTGCTTTGCTCACAGTATTTACTCCATAAATATTTTAGTATTTCAGTGACAGCAGTGTTATTTAAATGCAGAAAAATTTTTCTGGCTGAATAGGAATATAATTCTAATTACTTCTCTTGTTATAAATGATTATTTTTTAGAAAAAAGAATATGTTAATTTGGACTATGACTTATCTCAAACAATTAAATGTGTGAAAATGAAGTATTTGTGGCAATTTTGAATTTGTTACATTTTTATTTTTATCCAAAAACTAGTTATTTTGAAATTTTGAGCTTTTTTGATGTCTTCAATGAAATTCCCAAATACCTTATTCATATTGTACAAATGAAGTTTTAAATT